GTCATGGTGGTCGTTGTGGTCATCGCGGTCATCGTGGTCGTATGGTCATCGCAGTCGTCGTGGTCGTCGTGGACATGGTGGTCGTTGTGGTCATCGCAGTCATCGTGGTCGTCGTGGTCGTCATGGTTGTCGTAGCCGTGGTGGTCGTGGTGGTCGTGGTCGTCGTGGTCGTTATGTTGTGGTCGTCGTGGTGGTCACCTTGGTCACCCGTGATCGTCGTGGTCATAGTGGAAAAAAAAGGTGATGAACCTCATGTTAGAGTAAGCATCGGAGCCCAAGCATGTTACCATAACAAATCTTGACATCGGAACAGGCCTCGACAAATAGTTCGGAAGTTTCAGATGCCGTGATTCTCGCCATTGCTTCCTGATACGAAGCGCTGACCTTTGAGGCTCGCGGATCCGGGGTTACGGTGCCCCGGAAGCAGACTGGGATGCCCAGTAAACACATACTCTACTCTCTCAGCAATGCTCTGCACATCTAAAGCAGGCAAGCGAGACATCCAGTCGTTTGTGCCTGGTGGTGCTGGTGCTCAGGTTGTGTTGTGCGTCGGTCTGGCAACCAGTGAACCCCCGGGCTCCACGATGGGCGCAGGTCCTCCCCTGGCTGTTGCACGCCTGGGCCGCCATCCGGAATACTGTGCATTGCATATGTTTGCTTGGATGGCTATAGCTAAGGTGCAATTTCTGCAGAGTCACGGTACTTGCCTTGCTGCAGGCATTCTTCCCGAAGGATGGCAAACAGCATTTCAGGCAGTGCGGGCAAGCTGTTTGCAAGCATCGCTGGTTAGTGCTCGCGCGGAGGCAATCGGGCAGGCTGGCTGTGGTGGTAGAGTGTAGCTGCTGGGGAAGTGCAGCCAGATGGCAAGCATGTTAACCATGGGTAACATAAACGGGAATTGTTGCCAGGCGGAGCTTTGAGCATGCAGGCAGAAACCCAGCTAGAGTCCGGAGGTGTCCGTAGACAGCAAACGGGGCTGCCGCAAGGGACAAGGCTGGCTATCTCGGCGCTCCCACCGCAAGAGCAAATCCATGAAGAGTGGATAGGTGAGTCGGTCGCGTGCTTGGCTATGCTGGTCCAGAGGTGCGGCAAAGCGCAGCCATGCGCAGCCGTCACGTGCAATGAAGTGTACTTCTGCAAACAGGTTATGACACTGCGCGAAAGACACTCTACATGACTTCACTCGCTAGTCGATGCAAGTGCGAGTATGGGCATGTGCTTTGGCCCCTATCTTCATCGGACACACTCACACACTGCACGCCGCCCTTGTGCAGTGGTCATTCTCAACTTCCCTCATTGCGATGCCTGAGGCAGGTCTTATACACTTGCAAACCATAAGATTTGCTTTGGAACTACTCTTATTTCGCTGCAATCGTGGAAGAGATCTTCCCTCTCCACGGTTTAAGGCTCTCTCACCCAATCTTAACCATCTGGGTCCTACACCCGAAACCCGGTGTCTCACCGATGTCAGACCTTTCAAGCCGCAAAAGAAATTCACGACCCAGCTCCTTCGCCCCCAGCAGTTCCAAGCTTGTGTCTGAGCTGTTCCAGGGAGGAGACTTCTTGACCGCCTCCTGATCGAGGAGCAGCGAGCCTTAGTGGGCGCTGGAAGTCCCGTGCCGGCGTGGTCCGCGACATCATGTGACTTCAAGATACAGGCAAGGCGAGGAGCTTGGGTGCTGGATGGTCCCCTTCGCTTTAGCTTCAGCATGGATCTTGGGCATGAAGGTAATCGGAATACCCGGCATTGGCCACACCTGACGACTAGACGCGAAACGCGCACGGATCGCCCAAACAGCCTGCCAAGTGAAGCGTCCATGGTGCAGAGGGGGCTGAAGGGCCGCAGCCAAGTTGCTACCAGCTCTGGCCCCGCGCTCAATCTCAACGATGCCTCTGCGCTCGCGCCGATCTTGACGGCTTCCTGGAACACATCGGAGCTCCAGACGGTATGAGACGGGAACCCCACTGGGGTAATTCGTCCTTCTTCGAACCCGGTGTATTACAGTATAAAAACAGTCTTTTCTACAGTACAGTTATAGTATATCTTTCTTTTTTCAGTATATTCTCCGAACCCGGCCTCATGCTTCACGCCGAGGCTGTTAACGGTAACATCCGTCTCGCCGTTCTTGTTGGCGGTGACCGTAGCAGAGATCTGGAACTCCACTTCGTTCGACATGTCGATGGTTCCGGTGAGGACACCCTTTCCAACCAGCTCTATAACCATCTGAAGTGATATCATGATGCCTGGGCTAGCATCTGCAGCAGGTGCCAAGAGTGGCTGCTAGTATGTAGGGTTGAGGGATTGAAGGCCAGCAAGCTTGCGTGCTGCCTGCTGGAGCTAGTTTCATCGCGATTTGAGCATCTTACCCATCAAGTCGAGATGCAGAACCCGCCTGCACAAAACGTCTTCGTGATAGGCCCCCCATCTTCGGGGCCCGGAAAGCCTGAATCAGTGTTGGGGCGCAATAAACATGCACATGCACTGCTTCGGTGTGCTTTCAGGCGCAGCCAACAGCGGCCCGGGAGCCTCGTCTCAGCTTGTAGCTGCAGCTGCCCTGCCCCGTGACGAGTGTATCGTAGGAGCCCCGGACATTTCCGCTGATCGAGATCCTAGGCTGGCTCAACAGCCCTCAGCCCGCAGGGATTAGAGAGAGGGCTTGTGCTCGCCTTCAGTCCACGCTTTGTCTATACTTGAGTGCTATTTTGCAGGCTCAAACTTAACATCCTGCCACAACACCACTCCTGGTCGGTACGGGGTCGCCATGACACCACTTACAGTACCTGCCTTGAGGACCTTGTCCTGTATCGGAAGGCGAGTTTTTCTCAAGCTGAACTCAAGATGATAGTAGCACCCTGGGAAACAACAACACCAAGAACAAGGCCCGGGATCACAGTGTCACCGTTGTCGTGAACGGTCGCCGTGACGTCGGGGCTCCATTGTGTGACACCGTCGACGGCCACTTTCAGCTCAGTTTCGCACATGCCCGCTGGCTTTGGCTTCTGCATCTCCTCTGCTTGCAACAATCTGATCGCTGAACAACATTGAACGCCTATAGACATTGGAGCTTAAAACCAGTGGTCCAGGGCTGGCCGGGCGGGTCTGTGGCGCACTCAAGCCTTAAAGCCCTAAAGCCTGGACACCTCTAATCGAATCAGAATGAGACCAAACGGCACTCTCCACTCTCCTAAAACCAGGTCTCCTTCAAGCCCTTTCTGGACTTCAGTACGTCATCGTACGCCTTTTGGACCGGCACATAGTCTTGTCCAGGCAGGACGGATACCTTGTCGTTGGTGTTCACTGAAGCGTACACACCCATGGCCTTCGAGAACTCCGAGGTGGCCCTGAAAACGCATCGCATCTCCATCCTGTCGGAGTGGAGTCGGACGTAGCTTCCGCCACTACAATCACAATGCTTCCCGATGAGGACATGGCAAAGAGTGACGGTCTGCAACAAGCATGAGACGAAGCTCTTGATCGTGTTCCAGGCCGCTGGGCCCAGGCCTGCGGCCAAAGGCCCAACCTTGGCGATCTGCCCTCCCAAGGCTACTGCCTTGTCTGCGATGAAGTTCCCCACTTTCGTGGCGATCTTTGCTCCCTGCTCGGCAGTTTTCCTCGCGTGCTCCAGCGTGGTCTTCGCAAGCGCGATGGTTTGTTCCACGGCAATCTCCCCAACCTCACGGACGGTGTTAGCTGTGACTCTGGTGACCTGCAAAGCATCGTTTCCGATGGACTCGATATCGCTCCGCAGGTCGCCAAGTTCGCTCCATTTCAATTTCGGTGGTTGGATGACTCGATTCCCGACCACCATGGCTGAGTTGCCAACAGCCGAACCGATACTCTCGCCTGAACCCGGCTGTTGCCGCAAAAGTATGAAACAGAAATCCTGATATACCCTGACTCATCCGCCCCCCCTTGCCCTCGACAACCTTTCAGAATTTCAGAATCATAGGAACACTGCTAAACGTGAGATGAGACCGCGGCACCGGCATCGGCAAGCGCGTTGCCGACGCTTGTAATGGCATCGACGAAACCACCGAAGAACTTTGCCGACACCACAGCGTCGAGTGACTCATCGAGATCTTCCGCTGAGGCATTGGCACGCTCGTGCGACGTGCTTCTGGAGGATCGGGCCATCAGTGCGCTCTGCACATCGGCGGACTGCAAGTGCTCGGAGTCTGCAGTGTGCATGCGGAAGGTAGCTTCCGAAACGATGTTCGACTCCTGCGTCAGGCTAAAACTGTCCAAGTTAAGCATGGTCAAAAAAACATAGCTGTAAACTGATCCTGTAGCAAACTGTTACTGCGAACCGGCAAGGGGAAGCAACACGAAGGCTAGCCTGCCCCAGCTTCATTGCGGCAGCCATCGGGAGAAGTGTCCTTAGGACCGAACTCACACGCATTTGCGCTCCGACCAGTTGACCGGAGCAGATGTGAGCGCAACTTAAAGTAGTTGTAACAATGCGGCCTCGCTGTACACTTCTACGTTCTCAAGCATGACGCAGGCCCCTGCAGTACTGAGAACCCGTGACACCAAGGAATCTGAGCCCCACGCCAAATCATGGCCCAGGAGGATCGTGCCGGCCATGACAATTGCTTCATTGGATATGGAATAACAGGGAGCCGGAAGAAATAGACGTCTAATATACGTCTAATTATGCATCTCCGGCCAAGCTGGCTGCGGCAGGGTGTGTTGGTCAAGCAGCAGAAAGCACGGAACCGAGGAAGCAGTGTTCATCGGTCCCGGCCAATCAAGCTGCTTGGAGACTCCTAATGGTCGGGCTACTGAACTGCTGGTAGATTGCAACGGCACCGACGCTTGCAGGAGCGTCGGCCAGATGATGACCATCTCGGTGGAGATGGCCACGAAGATGGACACTAATATGGAGATCTATGCTGCAGTCCTGCTACCAATACCACGGTTACATATGAGTGGTACCGTCGCTGCACTGCTCATGCCATCATACGAAAACTACCAGTCGTCTTCTTGGCCACGAGAGGAGGACTGTGATTCACTGGTTGAGCTATCACTGAAGACTGGGCACCGGAAACAGGAAGGTGGCTATTCAGGAAAGCTCATGGGTAGTTAAAAGTGGAGCTATAAGTCCCCTAATATGGGTTATAATTACAGTTACCCTACATACAACCCCACTCATAACTACCCATGAACCTCCAAGTAAGAACCTCCAAACAGGCTGAACCTGAGTCCTTCGCAGCCTCAACGAAACACCGCCTTCCACTTCCGAGCTTTGAAAACAGAAGCAACGGAGCCATGTCGCGAGGGCGCAGAGTCCACACCGTTGCGGCCTTGGCGCAGAAACCCTAGAGTGGTACGGTCGTAGAATACCTCCGGGATGCGGCTTGGGGTGCAGGACTTGGGGCTTTGCTATCTGCAACCCAGCTGTGGTTCCGTCGGCGACGCCTCTTGGGCCTTGATTGGTCTTAAACCTGTGAGGCTCTCATGGGCTGAAGCGACCTCGCTGTCAGGGATATCTACAAGCTCCACACGGGCTGAGTCGTGAACCCAGAACACAAGCCCTGAACCGCAAGCCCCAACCACTCGCAAATGAGCATCCTGAGAAGTCGAATACATCGAACAACCCGCATCGACGTCTCGATCTTTCAATCATCATGCCAAGAAGCCAACAGCAAAATCTCAAAGTCCCCGAAGGTTACGGAGGCATCACGGCAACGTGAGTATGACGCCCCGAGTCCCTGAATCCAAAACTCTCCAAATATAGGGCTCCCCGAACAGCTTCGAGAAGCAGAGCTGGTCCCTTGCGGCTGCAGAGCTCGCACCACCTGAGCTTGGCATCTTGGAACAACTTAACCACGTCATCTCGGAGCCTGCAATGCGCATCATGGCAAGCTTTATACTTGGAGGTTCATGGGTAGTTATAAGTGGAGTTATAAGTCCCCTAATATGGGTTATAACTACAGTTACCCTACTTATAACCCCACTTATAACTACCCATGAACCTCCAAGTACTGTATCGAAACGAAGCAAAGGAGTGATTGAAAGACGAGTTATCGCAGCAAAGATCACAAATCAATGCTTCGTTTCCACAAGCAAGGCCAAATCTGGGTTCTTGTTAAGGGATTTAATTTAAGTTACCATAATAGGGAAACCATATTATTTACTATAGATCCCTATTATGGTAACTTAAATTAACTCCCTTAACAAGAACCCAGAAATCTATTGGACCAGGGTTTTTGCCGTCTTCAACTTCAACCAGGATGCAGGAATGTCATCAGGCTCATGCAGACCACCTGGGCAAAGTCTTGGGCAAACCTGGGGCATTAGACGAAGCTCCCGAGCCTGGGTTCTGCATGGATCGGATCGGCCGGGGTTTTTACGGGCTCTCTCCAAGCCGGTATTTGAGCAAGCAAAAGGTTCTTCGGCCGATTTTTGCGTTTGGGCTTTCGGCAGTCAACATCATCTTCTCAGACGCGAACAGTATACCAGCTGGACCCCTAAACGCCTAAACCCTTAAACCCCTAAACCCCTAAACCCCTACACCCCTAAACCCCTAAACCCCTGAACCCCTAAACCCCCTAAACCCCTAAACCTTTTGTGAGGAGAATTGCAGGATCTCACGGCAAATCCTAAATCCTAAACCCTAAACCCTAAACCCTAAACCCTAAATCCTAAACCCTAAACCCCGCGCCAGATCGCCACAAAAATCTTGCCAGGCAGAGCTTCCTGAGGTGGCAGGCCGGGCCTTCTTCGGTTTAGGGTTTAGGGCTTAGGGTGGAGGGTTTAGGGTTTAGGGTTTAGGGTTTAGGGTTTAGGGTTTAGGGTTTAGGGGCAGTGATGCTGGTCAGCTTCCCGAATCGCAGCCGTCACAGCCGTGTGGGTTCAGGCCAGTTTTCTGCAACCCCAAACCCTACAAACCGTACATAGCAATGAGTAAACCCCGTCACATCCTGCAAGGACTCAAACCTGACATGACAACCGTCCAGACAGGGGGAATGGTCTAGCCCAACCCTCAGAGTTTAGGAGTCGTAGATGGCACGTTTCCGCTTGGAGACTGGGATCCTGGGAGGCGAGGTGACTCTTCTAAGACGAGCAACCTGATCGTAGTCATCTCAAGATCAAAAATGCTGCTATCTTTCCTGCACCCTCAGGTCAACGCGAAGGAACCCGAAACCCGAAGCCCTGAACCCGAAACGCAAAAATATGCGAAGATCTAGGAGTGGAGTTTCCCAAAGTCTTGCAGAGGCGCTGCGTGGCCCGATGGCATGCCACAGGAGCAGAGGCAGGAGGCGGCAGGCCGCGGTTCATGGAGCCCAGACTGGAGCGCCACCAACCTCAATGCGTCAAGCTTCGAGGGTTGCCATGGTTATGACTACTACTATGACTGTTATTATTCGCGTTATTATTATTCTTGTAACCATTAATGTTAATATTTTAGTTGTTATTATTATTATTATTAGTAGTAGTAGTAGTAGTAATAGTAGTAGGAGTAGCAGCAGCAGCAGCAGTAGCAGTAGCAGTAGCAGTAGCAGTAGCAGTAGCAGTAGAAGTAGCAGTAGCAGTAGCAGTAG